GGCGGGGGGAGGCGGCGGCGCTGGAGCCCGCGGCGGGGGATGGCCTGAGGCGCGGTGAGAGACGCGCGGGGAGCCGAGCGTGGTCGCGGGGGGCCGCGCCCCGGCGCTTTGTCTGCCGGCCGCGAACAAAGGCGGCACCGCGCCGGCACCCGCGGGAGCGGCGGGGAGCGGGAACGGGAGAGGGAGCGAACGAAGCCGCTGGGAACCGGGATTCCTGGGAGCCAGCACTCCCCCGGGGGGCTCAGCTCACCTCTCTGCCGCGGGAGGGGCCTTGGGTCGGGGTCTGCCTTGGGGGGTGCGGGCAGACCCGCCCCTGCCTGCACCCCCGGCTGCCTGCCCTGCTCCTGACCGCCGTCTCCCGCCGCCCCCAGGCCCCGCCGGGCAGGATGCGCGGGGGCTGCGCGGTGGCGGCGGTGCCCTGGCTGGCCCTACTGGCCCTGGCCCGGCAGCCTCCCGAGAAGCCGTCGGCCGCCCCCCATGTCACCCGCCGCCCCTTCCTGGTGGCCTGGAACGTGCCCACCCAGGAATGCAAGCCCCGCTACCAGGTGGAGTTTGACTTCAGCATCTTCGATCTGGACGCCTCCCCCAACGAGGGCTTTGTGCGGCAGGACCTCACCATCTTCTACAAGGAGCGCCTGGGGCTCTACCCCTACTACACCCGCGAGGGTGTGCCCGTCAATGGCGGTGTCCCTCAAAACAGCAACCTGCTAGAGCACCTGGCCCGCCTTGAGGGCGGCATCACCAAGTACATCCAGTCGCCCACCAAGGAAGGGCTGGCTGTCATTGACTGGGAGGAGTGGCGGCCTGTCTGGGCTCGCAACTGGAAGCCCAAGGACATCTACCGGGAGGTGTCACAGAGTCTAGTGTCAGAGCGTAACAAGGACTGGCCCCCCGAGAAGGTGAACAAGCAGGCAGTGTTTGAGTTTGAGTCGGCTGCCCAGGAGTTCATGGTGAAGACCCTGCGTAAGGCCAAGAGCATCCGACCCAAGCAGCTCTGGGGGTTCTATCTCTTCCCTGACTGCTACAACCATGACTACAGCAAGAACAAGGAAAGCTACACTGGGCAGTGCCCAGACGTGGAGAAGACCCGCAATGACCAGCTGGTGTGGCTCTGGAAGGAGAGCACAGCGCTCTACCCCTCCATCTACCTCGACCCACTCCTGGACTCCACTCCCAACATCCGCAAGTTTGTGCGGGCACGGGTGATGGAGGCCATCCGCATCTCCCAGCAGCACCACGACAACTACTCCCTACCTGTCTTTGTCTACACCCGGCCCACCTTCATCCGCAAGCTGAATGTGCTCAGCCAGGTAGGGCTGCACCACAGGGACATCCTTATCCCATGCCCTGGGCACCTGGGCTTTGGGGTCAGCTGGGGTGGTTCTGCTGCCAGTGTTCCATCTTGCTTTCCTGGAGCAGAGTGACTCTGGAGACTGGTGTCTGCCCTCATGGTGCTACCACAGCTGTCTCCATATGGGGTGGGGAGCTTTGGCGTGTGGCTGGCCCCAGGAAGCAGGAGGGGTGCTTCAAAGGGTGTCACCGTGGGAGGCCCCCTCAGCTCAGCCCCTCTGTGGCTGGATGATAGGATGCCACAAACTGCTTCCATTAGGTATGGGGTGTCTGGCAGGACTGGCACCAATGGTCACCATTGCCAGAGAAGTGCCTGGGAGGTACTGCAAGACTCACAGGTCCTGGCAGCCAGGACCTTGGGGTATGTGAGCTCACAGCCCCTGTGCTGTGCTGGCTTAACCCCTGAGGAGGAGGGCAGTGTTGGGAAGTCTTGTCCCCAAAGAGCTGGGACAGTCCCCTCTCCCCGTGGCTTTGAAGCAGGGGTGGGTCTTGCCTCCTTGGCCCTGCAGTGGACGCTTTGGAGCACACTGTGCTGGGAGCGTGGGTGCTGTGTGGGGTCTGTGGGCACTAACCAGGCTCTGTCCCCACAGCTGGACCTGATCTCCACCGTCGGAGAGAGTGCAGCACTGGGTGCAGCCGGGGCCATTTTCTGGGGTGATGCAGATGATGCCAAAAATCGGGTAGGTTTGGGGTCTGCATGGGAGGTAGATGATGGGTGAAGGGCTCACCTGCCCCCAGAGGAGGACCAGTGGCTGAGCTGTCCTCTCCATCTGAGGTGCTTCTCTCCCTGTGTCACACGAACATGCCCCTGGTGCTCCCTTTCCCCTAGGAGTTGTGTCAGACTTTGAAGAACTACCTGGAGGGGGACCTGGGGCGCTACATCGTGAATGTCTCGACAGCAGCAGAGCTCTGCAGCACAACACTATGCCAGGGCCAGGGGCGCTGCCTGCGCCAGGACAGCACTGCTGATGTCTTCCTCCACCTCAACTCTAGCAACTTCCAGCTGCGGCGCCGGGATGCAGACCACCCCAAGCACCCCCTCTTCTGGGTCGAGGGCCAGCTATCCTCTGCTGACATCCTCTTCCTACGGACCCACTTTCACTGCCACTGCTACCAGGGCTGGCAGGGCAGTAGCTGCCAGACGCCCACTGGCCCTGGCAATGATGCCCCTGGGCCCCTGGCACCACTAGGACTTGGGGTGCTGTTGCTGCTTGCAAGCTGGTGCTAACCCCCCTGGACTGAGCTGCCCCTTTTTGTGGTGTAGGGGCCTATTTAAGATATCACTACCCTGCCTGGGAGGCAGCTTGTTATGAGGGCTGCCCCTCACTGTGAGGGGCAGAGCTGTGTTGCCCCATCTCTGCCCTCCCTGTTGCAATGGGGATGGAGGGAGGAGGGGGGCCCCTCTCCTGTTGTAAAGAGAGGGATGGGGGCAAGAGGGACATGGGGGTGGGGAGTGGGTTCGTTGTGGTGCTGAGCCCCTGTGTGCTGCCCCACACTCAAGTGCTTTACCTCGAATAAAGCTGGTCAGAGGGAGAGGTGTGGGCTGATTTGGGGCGGGGGGGAGGCCACGGGTCACCCAACTGCCAGACACGGCCACCGTGGGGTGGGAGCGCTGGCGGTGGGTGGGCAGCTCGGGAGAGGCACTGCAGGATGGGAGCTCTCCCGGTGGGGCCGGAGCCGCTCGGGGAAGGCGCTCCGAGAGCGGGAGCTCCCGGCGTGGAGCCGGAGCCGCGTGGGCAGCCACGGTCGGGCCACCCACGTGGAGCCGCGCTCGCCACGCCCCGCCCGGGCTCCTCCCCTGCTCGCAGTGGCCCCGGCTCTGCTCCGGGATTCCCCGCCTGGCCCCGCCCTCAATCCCGGGACACGCCCCGGGGCGCGGGCAGTGCTGGGGCTGCGGGATGGGAACACCCCGGGAGCGGGATCCTCGTGGGGACACCCCTGTGCCGCGAGCGTCGCTGAGCTCCGCTGTCCCGTGCCACGAGTGTCCCCCAGCAGTGCCCTGGCGCAGCTCCCTTGTCCCCGTGCCACTGTGTGCCCGGCGCAGCCCTGCTCTGCCTGTGCCCGTGCAGCCCCTCCGGGTACTGCTCTGCTCTTTGCGGTGCCCGTGGGCACGGCCCGGCCCCGCGTGGCACAGCCGCCTTCCTGCCCGCACCCCTCGGCTGCTGTGCCTGTCCCCACGTGCCTGTCCCCGCCGTGCCCTCCTGTGCCGGCGGTCCCCATGCGTGAGTGTCCCCAGGACGTGCCCGCCTGTGTCTCCTGTCCCCACGCGTGAGTGTCCCCACAGCGTGCCGTCCTGTGTTGTGAGCGTCCCCGGGCCGTGCCCTCCTGTGCCACCCCGGGTGGCACCTCCTGCCGGGTCCTGCTCGATGCCGTGAGCTTCTTCCCAGCAGTGCCCTCCTCCTGCCAGCTCGTGGCCGTCGCTCTCCGCTTCCCCAAAGGCGCCCGTCCGGCTCAACCCACGTCCATCACCGTGACCTCCCTTCCTTCCCCCCCCCCCGTCTCCCCCGCCTCCGCGTCCGTGTCTGTTTGTCTTTCCAGCCCCACTCCTCGCCGGCCAGTCATGGGGTGTTGACTCTGCGCATTCCTTCCCAGCCGAGCCCGCCGCCGCCGGTCATTAAGCCGGGCTGACACACGCTGCTGTCCCCACTCCGGGGCCGCTGTGCTGGGCTCCAGCTGCTGCTAACTTCGTGGACTTTGAGGAGGGGGGAAAGGTGACCTCGGGTGACTGGCATCGCTTGGGAACGGAGGTGTTCATTAACGCCGGTCCCAGCTTGGGGATAAAAGCATCGACGTCTGCCCAGGTCCTGGCTCTCCCCAGGCAGCTCCGGGACTCACCCTGATCCCTCCTGCACCATGGCATGGGCGTGGTCCTGCTGGGTCCTCCTGCTGCTCCTGCCTGCCCTGGCCCACACTGGGGGGCCTGGCCCTGTCCTTGTCAACCGCCCCTTCGTCACCGTCTGGAACATCCCCACGGAGCACTGTGCTGAGAATTACAATGTCACCCTCAACCTGGAGGTCTTTGATGTGTTGGCCAACGACCAGCAGTCCTTCACCGGGCAGGACATCACCCTCTTCTACAGTGACAAGATGGGTCTCCTCCCCTACTACACATCTGAGGGGGTGCCAGTGAATGGGGGGCTCCCCCAAAATGCCAGCCTGGAGGCTCACCTCCAGCAGGCCACCCAGGACATCAAGGTGACCCTGCCCAGCCCTGCCTACAGTGGGCTGGCTGTCATTGACTGGGAGAAGTGGCGCCCGCTGTGGATCCGCAACTGGGATTCCATGAAGATCTACCAGGAGAAGTCGGAGGAGCTGGTGCAGCAGCAGCACCCGCAGTGGCCCCCTGAGGAGGTGGAGGAGGTGGCCAAGCAGCAGTTTGAGGAGAGCGCCCGCAATTTCATGAATGAGACCCTGTGGCTGGGTGAGAGCCTCCGTTCTGACGCCTACTGGGGTTTCTATGGTTTCCCCGACTGCTACAACAACCACTTTGACAGCCTGCCCTACAATGGGACATGCCCAGAGGTGGAGCAGCAGAGGAACAGGAATCTGTCCTGGCTCTGGAAGAGCAGCCGGGCACTCTACCCCAGTATCTACCTGCCCCTCTCCCTCAATGGCACCAACAAAGTGCTCCCCTACGTCCGGCACCGCGTGGCTGAAGCTTTCAATGTCCAGCGTGGCGTCCTTGACAGCGGCATCCCCGTCCTGCCCTACTCTCAGATTGCCTTCGAGCTGACTGTTGACTTCCTTTCCCAGGTAATGGGGATGTGGGGATACTGAACAGCTCCTGGGCTGATGGGTTGGCACTGGGATTCTTTAGCTCTGCTGGGGCTGTGTGGGGGCTTTGGACACCACTGACTTCTCCTCTCCTCATGGGTGCAGGAGGACCTGATGAACACCATCGGGGAGAGCGCAGCTCAGGGTGCTGCTGGCATCATCCTCTGGGGCAGCCTCAACTACAGCGCCTCCAAGGTGAGTGCAGAGGGTGGCACCACATCCCTGCCAGCAGAGACCCCCAGTTCCTCAGCTGTGCAGGGCTGTGACACCACATGCCATTGCAGGAGATGTGCCTGAGACTGAAGGACTACGTGGAGGGACCTCTGGGCCACTACATCGTCAATGTGACGGCCAGTGCCGATCTGTGCAGCCAGAGCCTGTGCTCCGGCCACGGGCGCTGTGTGCGCCAGGAGAACAAGCAGGGCTTCCTCCACCTTGACCCCTTCCGCTTCACCATTGATCTGCACGCTGCCAAGCCCTGGCTGGTGGCTCAGAGCCTGGAGTCTGGTAATGATGTCTCCCAGCTGGAAAAGGAGTTCAGCTGCCAGTGCTACAATGAGTGGCAGGGACCGCGCTGTGACACCCAGGGCTTCTCCAAGTGACCCACCCCAAGGACAGCAGGTTTGATAGGGTGACCCTACCTTGTGCCCCAGCACTCTCACCATGGGGTTGGGAGCCTGGCTGTGGGGCTGTTAATAAAACCAGAAAGCACCCGCAAGTGTCTCCTTGTCTTGTGCTGCAGCACATTTTGGGGTGGGAGGGTCCCCCAGCAACACCAGTGGTGCCTAGCGATGCTGCCAAGGGCTGCACTTTGGGATGGGGATTTGAGGGTATAATGCCTCAGAGAAACCACCAAAAAAAAAAAGAAGAAAATTTATGGCAAAAGACATAAGAAAGGAGATGACAGGGCAAGAGGATGAGAAATGGGGAGTGGCCAGAGAGTAGAGGTGATGGGAGTGAAAAGATGTGCCTGTGTGGCTGTAGCTGGAGGAGTGTGTTCTCCAACTCCTCATCAGGCAGAGAGGAGTGGAGTGAAACCTGTGCCCCCACTTTGATTTTCCCCTGGAATACCATATGCAAACCAGTTCAGCCCTCAAATGATATGCAAAACCATCCATTTCTGTAACCCAGGACAGTGACTCAGCCATACCTATTTTAAAGCAGTTGGGAAAAGGCATGAAACACTGAATTCCCAGTCCAGCTGAGATAAAGATGTTGGCATCTTCATCTGAATGTTCAGCTTGGGGTGGGGGAATCACATACTCACTTCTCTAATTCAGGTAACCTCTATCCATGTTGGAACTGTGCTGTAAAGCACTGTGTGTTTACTGTTCCCAAACATCTGTTCTCAAGATGCTCTGTCCAGGGCACATATTTCTTTCAAAAAGCAGTTACTAACACCAATGTCCTGTCAAGAAGAACTTGGGTTGTGGACACCCCCATCACTCATATGGACCCTGTCAATGATAACCAATATTTGATTTCTACAGACTTACTACAGCCAGCCTGTTCATTTCTTATTATTACATTGAGGAGTATCTGAGAATATGCCACTGGAGACATAATTAGACCTTTGGATTCCCCAGTCACAGCTTTCAGAAACATGCACTGGGTTATTGCCAAGCTCTTTGCCAAGCTGGGGGCCCCTGAAAAAAAATTAGTCATAATTGGATTTTGGCCCAGGATTAATTGTTTTATCTAATTCTTATAGAGATAGCTCGGTAAATGCTGGGTGTAAATGTTGGAAGCAATATTATCTTAGTATTTTTTTATGTGGAATGTGATTTAAAGAACACTCAAACATACTCCTCCCAAGTTACAGGGAATCTGATATTTGCCCTCTATTAAATGCTGAAACTGAAAGCAAAGTTCACCTTCCTATTCACACAAAGAAAATTACCATGAATTTCAAGTCGTCTTCATGCCTGGAAGGGATTGGAGCTGTGTGCCTGTAACTTCAAGTAATTTAATATGCTTTAAGTGTTCAGGTACTGAATATTTGGTGCATACTTTGGGGCTGGTTTGGGGTTCTCCTGGGCACAGTATTATCTCAATTCATTAACTGAGCTAAGCATTGGGGTGGGCATGAGGAAAGAGATGTTTCAGGAGCCACAGGAGCCCTGCAGAAACCCTGTCTCTAGGTGTGGGTTTGCGTCTTGCCTTAAAGAAAAGTGAGGCTGGAAACTCGGGCCAGCTCTTTCTCTTGCTGTTTAAATAATGCAAGCCTGGGCATGAATGCAGTTTGTCGTTTTCAAATAAGAGTTTGAAATGTGTAAGAGGATTTGTTTTATTCATCCTGTTTGTTGTAGCTATTCCTCTGTCCTTGCCTCTTACAGCATATCTAAAGACACCCAAGACACTGGATTTCATGTAATCTAGCTCGTCTTGCTCCAGACTCCAAGGAATAGAGACTAGAAAGACACTGCACATGGTGCCAGCAGGCAGCTTAGAAGCACTGAACATCTGCTGGGTTGTTTTTTTCCAGGTCTGAGAACCACACTACGCCTTGTACACGTGTAGTGCTCTGCAAATCCACGGCAGTGCCGGAGCGAGCCCACGCTCGATGGGAGTGTGCTGGAGGGGAGCCAGCAGCAATCCACAGGCCTTTGTGTGCTTCACATTTCTGGCTGCTCCACATCTCTTGGGTGGGATATGCTTATGGTGCTGTCATGGCAGCTCCTGTTTTCTGTGCTCAGGATGAGTGAGAAACCTGCTGTGTGCATAGCTCGCTCGTCCGCTGTGTTATGGGGTTCACA